CCATTTCATCTGCTCATAAGATTTAATTTGAAAGAAAAACTTCACCAGAGATGAAGAAAAGGGAGCAGGGACCAGAGGCCAGGAGAGAAAGCATCTGCAAACCATTAGCATGAAAGGTTAAGTCTAGGTTACAGAAACTTGTGACTTCCATTAAACCTTTGTCTCCAACTCTGAAAAAGAAGCACAATGAGAGAGAAATAGCTTGATCACATATTAAAACGCATTCTAATGCCCTGATAATTAAAACAGTGTGGTAGTGATATCTGAATGGATAGATTTCCAATAGAACAGAATAGAAAGTAACAGAAATAGGCCAACGTGCATTCAGCAACTTGGTAAAGCAATGAAGATGCATTATAAGATAAAAGAAACACAGATGCTCTGAATTATGAAATGAGCCTTCCCAGGGGACAAATGAAAAAGTCTCCCGAAGTCTTGGAGGGGCAGGCTCTGAACGGGGTTTCTGCTTTTTCTCCTTCTCCTCATGGTTTTGGGTTTGCCTGAGCTAAAATTAAGTCCAGCACTGGCTGTAATTGTGTGTTCCTTTCTAAATTCAGATAATTTGGGGCAGCTGGACAGCAGGCCGGGCTCTCACTTCATTAAGCCTCTGTTCACCAAAAAAGCTCTTCAAAGCCCCTGACTCTGGCCCTCCAGCCTCAGGCTCCACGTCCCTCCCAAGGCGGCCCCGCTGTTCCTGGGCAATGATGCAGAACACATTCAAAGGCCCGAGGCCCTCCCAGCCCTCACCCAGGCCGAGGCCCAGACGCACATTAAAGCAGAAAGGAGCTCTACGTGTGGCCTGAGCGCCTGAATTCTGACTGTCCTGGGATTCAGCTCGGGCATCACAGATTTTTTTTTCACTCCCCAGGTATTTAGAATGTGCAGCTACAGTTAAGACTAGCCACTTAAAATTTTAGAGTATCTTTCTTTCCATGAATGTTGGCAAATCATTCTCTGATGATGCATGATGAACTAAGAGAATACAAGTAAAAGGGCTTTTAAATGGCAGTGCCACCTAAATGTTACCCATCAGGGTCAGCAGAAGCACAGCAGGGTGAAACTGATGAGGCTCTGAGTCTCGGGAGCCTCACGTCTTGGCTGATGTGCAGCGGCACCTGTGGGCTGGGAGCAGGGAGAGGCTTTTGGTTTCAGACTGAGCACCTCCTCCAGGTGTTTTCTTACGGCGCTACTGCTGCAGATCCTAGAAGCTGGCGCTCAGCTCTCACGGCGTTCTTAGGTGAGCAGGTTCCTGAGCAAAGCAGCATCCTTGCCGCCCAGCCTGAGTCTGAGGGTCAGAACTGCCTCTGTTCCCTTCTCCACAAGCCTCTGCCCGCAGAAAACACAGGGAGATACTGTTGGTGAACGGCTGTCCTTTCCATTTCTGTGTCTTAATGTTAATGACACTGCTTAGCTGTTTATATTGTCTTGTGAGTCATCTTTTTAAAAAAAAATGTTTTGCAGCCAACATTGAATATGTTGTGCTTTTGTACATTTTCTATTTAACTTTG